AAGATCTGATCTAAATAAAAACGATGATAATAAACTATTTTTGGTACCCTCTTAACTGTTTGAATAAATGTTTTTTATGAATGTTACGTAATAAACTGAACATCACAAAAACATCCATGGGGTATAAGAACCACTCACTATGTCAAATATATATATTTGTTTGCTGTGAAGCAACAATGCAAACTGTTACTATAAATAAATAGACATTTAAACAGTTTATATAACATAATGCGCCTCTAATTACATGAGAAGGTATGCATAGGAAAGTTCAAGTACCTAAATGACTCCTGTGGTTTTGACGGAAATTTAGTTACACGAGATTTTAGGCTATTGTGACCTATTTCACTGCACTAAATGCACTCTTGCCTTTGATGCATGGGTCTTGAGTATAAGCTTAAGTGTTCCTCTGACCTAGAAAAGAACCTGTGTGGAACCCCACTGTAACCCACAATGAACGACCCACATAAAGCAGATGCACGGAGGTCCTCTCAGCGTTTTATCTTCCTTGAACTTTTTCCACTAGCTCTATATGTCAGGTATTAGGTCTTCTTTTCATTAGCCATGATACTTCTGTTTTAAATGGAAGCATAGGGTATTCTCATGCTAGGCTGATGGAAACACCAAGCACACACACCCATGGAGAGCTATTTTAAGTAAGTGCTGACTCGTGGCTAGTTTTTTTTTTTTTTCCTTCAGTTTTTTTGTTAATAAAATACTAATTAAATCACACACCTTTCCGGCTGATTACTCAGACTGGATCCCATATTAGAGTACCTGCTTATTACGACACTTGTAACTGCCTGAAGACTCTGTGTCTGTGAGGATGGTTAAGATACAGAAGTAAGTGTCAGTATTCTGACGTATTTCTTTCCCCCTTTTCAAATAAGGTTTTAACATCACAATTTATTTTTTTATTTAAATAAAACCACAATAAAAAAGTAGATGAGAGATGAAATGTGACTTGATGCGTGATTTAACATTCCACCTTTTATCTGCCCACATTCATGTGACACCTTTAGTGCTCAACTGTATTATAACAGACTTCAGCTTTCTTATTTTATCAAATCTTATTTTGTTTTTTTTCTCACTTTTTTAAACTTATTTCTGTTTTTATAAAGTTGTTTGGTTTGAAGAAGGATCCTTTCATTTTCTGTCTGTAACTACTAGTGACCACACCAACCAAGACCAAGGAGTACCAAAACATTTAGAGGCCGAGACCAAGACCATATAGGTATTGGTGGTGGTCTTGGTCTCCGTACCCCTTGGTCTTGGTTGGTGTGGTCTTGACTATATGCTAGTAAGTACTTTATTAGTTCGTTTACCATCATTGGAGCAAATAACGTTATGCAGTGAAATAAAAACATTAATCAAGCTAGAACAACAATCTTATGAAAAATTCCAGTGACTTTTATGAATAAATAAAAATAATATTGGCAACTATTCTCTACTAAGAAGCAGAACTAATAAGAACTCCTTATTTCTTTTTAGAGCTGATGCTCTGCTCACCACCTGTTTTACAGCGGTCCAGATTGTTGTGAACGTTTAAGAAAATGTTAGCAGTGTGGAAGGATAGTCTTCTCTAACTTGAAGCTTGTACAATTTCAAAGTCTGATAACCTGTCTTTTGAAAAGTATAATTTTTCATTTATTTTCATTTAAATCTTCTGCCATGAAAAGCGTTCCTGCATTTTAAGAAAATACCAATTAACATCATCCTAGCTCTGCAGTACAGGGCTGGCAGCTTCATGTTTTAGGGGGTTTTATTTGCCCCTTTACATAAGCAGAGGTGTCTAGTAACGAAGTACAAATACTTTGTTCCTGTACTTAAGTGCACTTTTTAGGTATCTATACTTTACTCCATTACTTATTATTCTTCCTTCTTCTGACTTCTACTCATTACATTTTCACACAAGAATCTGTACTTTTTATTTCTTACATTTTTAAAACAAATTACTCATTACTCTTGGCTTCGGTTTAATATTTATAAATATTTATTTAATGTCATGTGTGCCATCCACATTTGGTAAAAACTAGTGTAATGACTAGTGAGAACGTATCGGGAGATGGAGAAAAGAGACCAACAAGAGGCCAATTTAGCCCTATCTGAATATTTCAAATTAGTCGAAAATTTGAGCTTTCAATTCATATAGTGGCATCTGGCTGTTTTTTTTAAAGGATACTTTATACTTTTATAGTTTAAGTAGTTTTTGGAGCACATACTTTTTTACTTTTACTTGAGTAAAGAGGTCAAGTTGATACTTCAACTTTTACCAGTGTTTTTAAACTGCAGTATCTATACTTCTACTTAAGTAACAGAAGTGCGTACTTTTGACACCACTGCACAAAGGAGGAATGAACATCATATGAAGTTCTGAAATGACACCTGAAATAAGCCTGGTATTTAAAGCTCTGTCATAAATGGGTCGTCTAGATGGACAATGACGCTAAACATACTTTTCAAATAGTAACAAAGTTGCTGATTGTAGCAATACAAACACCTTTGAGGCACCATTTTCAGCAGCCATTTCCGAGCTCTGAGCTCGGGCCCATCTTTTGTAGATAGACCGTCACAAATTTGTGCAAATGAAGGGACTTAGGTACCCTGGTTCAGTTAGGACTAATACATCCAGTAAACCCTTTTGAAAAGCTGCCGGAAGGATGCTAAAAATGTTTATGCTCACCATATAAGACAACTCTACCAAGCAATGAGGAAATGTAAACCTGTGCAATTGAAAAAAGAAAAAAAAAAACAGTTGTTTTCAGTTATTTTTACTCATAAAGTAATAGTTTAGTCTGATTCAGTGTCAAAAAGGGTGATAAGAGTCAAAAAAGGTTCTGATTTTGTCATTTGAAAAATATAAAACAGCTTTTTAAAATCTCGTATAAAACAGTTACACAAATGGAAAAGAAAAGATTTTTAATTTTCCTCTATTGCGTGTTTGGGTGGGTAGAGAAACCATACTTTTTGTTCTAAATTAAAACAGAATTCCTAAAAAGGCAGTCAGATACTTTTAAAGCTCTAGTATTCACAGCTTAAAAACTACAAATAGAACAGAAAGAAAACTTGAAAGATAATAATCATTTACATATGAAATAAAATAAATGGGAAGATTACAGATAAGCATATTGAAAAAAATATGCGTTATATATATTTTTATCTATTTTATTATATTTATTCATTTGAGCAATTAGTCTTAAATATATAAATAAACATAAAAGTATTTCATATATAATTGCATTTGATGATTCCTGGAGAACCAATGGAAAATATGAAGCATTTCATGTGTGGAAGAAGTGGAATCACATGAATGGAACATTCATATCAATTTGTGGGAGTATTGCAACTTTTTGCAGCTGATTTGTATAGACTTTAATAATATTTACTTTAAAAAAATAAGTACTTTCACTTGTTTCTTTTTTTTTTTTGATAGCATCTGTAAACAAAAGCAGCAGATCCTATTCACTGCTGAATTTACTTTACTACTGCAACACGTGACAGTCATTTCTTAAGCCTTTGTTGGGGAAAATGCTGGGGCTTTTTTCTGCTGCTATTACAAAACCATTCCTGTGGGCAGAGCTTAATGTTTCTCCTCTGAAGTATATATAAGGCCTGTGTGCTGAGCAATCTCCATCCACCTGAGAGGGAACAGGCGAGACCACTTTCAGATCACAGCAGCATCTGCCTACAAAGCTAAAGTTATGGTATCAGTCAAAGTCACAGTGGTTGCTGTGACACTTATTACTCTTTGTGTCCTGGCTACAAACAAGCATGCAGGTAAGCCTTGCTTCCATTCTTCTGTTTTAGTGATTATACAAACTCATATGAGACACATAGAGATTTGCAGCATAATTTATAATTCATCTTTTATCCTTTCTTACAGCTTACGTTGGTTGCTGTCGAAGACACATAAAGGGCAAAATTCGATTTGAGGAAATCAAGGGCTTCTCTGTGCAGAATAACACAGAAGTCTGTCCCATCAGTGCCATCATGTAAGTGATTGTTTATGATCAAGTTACTATTTATACATAAAGGGTTTTTATTAACTTTGATTTCTTTTTAATCCAGTTTTCACACAAAGAGAGGCAAAGTATGTGCCAACCCTGCTCTGGAATGGGCGATGGACTACGTCAGCCGGATAGAGTAAGTAGTTTAATGGCATAAGAAAAATGCTATAATATCTAGACAAAAAAAAAAAAAAAAAATGAATACATGCAGCATTTCCTAAAACTGATCTCATTACAGATATCAGGCACAAAAAGTTCACCAGAGGGCGCAAATGAAGAAACAAGGGTCCTAGAGGAAGAAGCTATGGAGGACTCAGAGGCCAGCTGCAAACATGTTGAAGATCTGTACAAATAAAAAAGGCTTTGCTGTTCATAGAGTAGAAAACACCAGCTTAATAAGCAATACTGACAGCCTGATGCTGCAAAGCAATGCATATATTGGCTCAGTTGTAAGAGCACTGAATGTATTTTGTTCTTTATATTGATAAATATTTTCTTTTTGTACTAATTTTATACAAAATAAAAACATCCTTCAAAAGAATCACCTGTCTGTCTGTCCTGTGTAAATTGAAATAATTTTGGGTTGTTGGAAGGATCATTTATTGAAACTTTCTTTGGCCCTTTTAGAGGTGTGACACATTTGATCTGCGTGCAAATCCAGCTCCCTCCTCGCCTTTTATCTCTTTCAGGAAATTCCACCTTTGGAGTTTTCAAGTATTGTAATCGGAGCTGAAAACGAGATGATGAAAGATAGAGAAAGTTACAGGAAACATGTTGTTTAAAACCATGCAACAGATCAGGCTTTGCATGCTGACTCTCAAACCTCATTGCCAATGAAAACAGCTTAAAAAAGTCCTTATTTAAACTCTTCCAGGGAAACTTTTTAAATTGTGGGAAATTTTGAATATAGTGTAAATCAAGAGATCGCTTCAGTTAGATGAGTTTCTCTAACACACCTTAATCCCGCAAAAACACACCAAACCTGTTCTGCGTGGGCATGACGAAACATAGGAAACCAGTGAGAAGTTTGCCTGCATCATTATACGCATGAATTAAATAATCTTAATACAAATGGCCTTTTCATGAGGCGCTGAACATTCATTTTGTAAGATTGATTATTTATGGAATCAACAATTTGGGGGAATTTTCAGAAGATTTGCATTGCATGTTTAGATTGTTAATTTTGTCTAATACGAACTGTTTTAAAATGATCTACTTGCTTAAACATATAAATCCAACAGCACACACACGGCATGAATGTCTTAAAGAGAGCTGCTGGCGAACCACATGTTTTGCAGGCGCCTTCATATTTTAAATGCATATTTTGTGCAAATAAAAAAATGTAAGAAAGAGTTTGATTGATTTAGTTTGTTTCCTGCCATATAGCCACCCTAGGCATTTCAACCTGGAGAGACTCGAATAGAGATCTTGCAGCAATGTCACTGCTGAAGGCAGTTCTGCATAGAAATGTCGGTCTATGTTAAAGGCGTCCGCACAGAGTCTGACTCTGTTGGTGAAACGGAGGCTGGAGAATGAGGGGAGCCGTGGGGAGTTTAAGAGATGAAGGTGGAGGAGAGATGCTGTTAAGCACGAAAGAAAGGATGTCCTGGATAGTAATTGGCTTATGAAGGTGTGGAGCTGCAATTGGCTGGAGCAGAAACTCATAATGTGCAGATTGGTTGCAGGTGAGAGTCCTTCAGTTATAAAATCACATAGTTAGTCCGTTCTTTATTTCAAAACCAGTTTTGCTTTGTATTTATTATTATTTGTCAGTCCAACTTTCAGTCCTCTCACCCAAATGGACATCCTTGGATGAAAGAAAGTTGGTTAACATGTTTAAAGACAGCCAAAGCAGTACCAGGGGTATAGCTTTACATAAATTGCAAAATCATAGCAGACCTGTGAAGGAAATGTAGCGATAATTTGGTCAGATGGCTTACCTTATATATACTGATTTTCAGGGAACAAAATCATCAGAGCACCAACTCACAGCAATGTTTCCATTATCTTCCCCAGGTCTGGTTTATTTTTACACAGATGGTAACAAAACAAACAAACAACAAAAAAACAACTACGGTAATAAAAGTAGAGGTCAAAAGAACTCACAGTAGTAAAAATGTTTCCTTTACTATAAATATCACTGTATTCAAATCAGCAGCAGAAGACTGCGATTCGCCCACACATATAAAAATGTGTTCCATTAATTTGTTGTTTATATATAAACACACGCGCTCAAACATGTTGTGTCGCACTATCGTTGCGGGGACTTTCCGTTGACCTCTATTCACTTTGCATTCATTTCTATGGCCTATATCTGACCCTTACCATTACCAACACTGCTTAACCGTAAATCTAATCTGAACCTAATTCACACCCTAGTCTTAAGCCTTACACCCACCCTAGAAGGAGAGCTTTCTCATGGGGACCAGTCGTTGGTTCCCACAAATACCTGTAAGTTCTCTTTCTGGGGTTTGGGTTAGATTATTATTATTATTATTATTATTATTATGGTGAGGTACGCACTGATAATGGTTAGGTTTAGGTCTATTTTCAGGGTATTGCTATGGAAGGGTTCATACTGAAAATGAATGGAAGTCATTTGTAGGCAAAACATGGTTCTCACTACATATAGCAAGATGAGAATCTGTGAGTGTGTGTTAGTTCAGCATTCAAATCCAAGTTCCTCCTCAAGTGAAGTCAGTGGACAGTAATCATAATTTAGGTTTGGAAGTTGCTAAATTTACACACATCTGTACAGTTCAACCAACCAACATATTCTCATTATCAGTTCGTATGAAATCGTACGAAAAGTTATGCACAGTATTTCATACGTTTTTGACCTTTTTCCTCGAAAAAACAGATCAGTACGCATGCGCAACCAGACAGACGAAAAAAGCAGATCCGCGGAAGGACGTAAAACTGGGAAAAACAGTGCAATAATTACTTCTTCATGTCTCTAAATACGTTGCTTGCTGTTTTGTATCTTAGGGTTAGGGTTAGGGTCATGGTTACGGTTAATTCTATGTTAAATGCTATGGTATTGAATGGTGCGTAAGATGCGCATGCGCAAGGATATGTTGTCTCGAGGCAAGACGTAAAAATGCGCCGAAATACCACAAAAAAAACGTCTAGAACGTACGAAATTACGGTGCATAACTTTTCCCACAATTTCATACGAACTGATAATGAGAATACGCTGAACCAACACATTATATGACTGAGATCAGGCTTATTAATGAATGAAAAAGCCTCCTTAAAGTTTTTGATGTCCTGAAACAACTTTGTAATTAATCAGACTGTATGTTTAGGATCATTGTCCATCAGGGAGACTCCCTGACTGACTTCTTTTGGTGTCGCTTCAGTTATTCATAAAACGTTCTGTCCTCATGATGCCATCTAGCATATATTATAACCCTCTCTACTCCAGTAAAAGACTCCAGAAACTATGAAGCACAACTGTGCTTCATAGTTGAAATGATGTTCAATGCAAAAGGTGGAAACATTAACTTAAGTAAATGATGGGTGAGTGAAAAAGCTTCAGCCGGTGTGTATGTCAGGACAGTGGTTTTCAACTCAGTCCTCAGGAGCCTGTCCTGCATGTTTAGGTATTTTCCTGCTTTCACACACTGGGTTTAGTGTGAGCACATTCTTAGTTTTCTGTGACTTGTGGAAAAGAATATTATAGTCTCCAAATGATAATATTTGGATGCGGTTGAAAAGTTCACATCATGAAAAATGAACACAGGATGCTGAACAGAGCAGCTGCACTTAAAGCAAAAGAAGGGGATTTATTTGTGTTAGTAACAAGAGAAAAGTTAGCATTATTTATTTATTTTATTTGTAAAAGACCAAAGAATGTTTAATAGGATTGCTTGTCTTTTATTCAAATTTTTATTTTTGCATTTTATGACTTTGCAGCTTGATTTGTTTATGAATACAATAAACTATAATCGACAAAGTAGTTGAAGTTAGAAAGTTAAAAGAAAACTAAACTAAGTAGTTTTTACTGTAAGATAGATAAGCAAACAGATAACAAAATTAATTAATAAAGTTGTCATTAAAATGTTGAGTAAAGCTGTCACATCAGTGTTGGCAGATAAAACCTGCAACATTATGTAAAGCCTATCAAGTCTGATGTAAATTCTCACTGTACTTGATTAAATGCAGTATTAACATTTACCATCTAGCAGAGGAAAGTGTTACTGGGAGTTATGAAAGGACTCAGAATACTATTTTTATTTTTGTATCAGTAACTGAAAATGATCTCTTGGAACACAAACCATAGGACCTCACAACAAGTAAAGGAGCCAATCTACAATTACACATCTTTTTAAGTGGTATAACCAGCAGACTCTCTAAGACACGGGATTTGTTTGAGCAAAATTTACTCAAATTGAGGAAATCTTTATAGAAATGGGTAACAGTATATAAAAACACAGAAAAATATTTTAGTTGAACTTTAAAGTTATGTAAAGGGCCCACTTTTGATAGGAAAAATGCTTAGAATTTAAATTATTCCTGTGTAAATGTTCTGATGGGTGTTTTCATGATGAACAACGGTTTAATTAGTACATTTCATTATGTAGAATGTGTAAAGTTTATTATATGTGTTGGTTCCCTTCTGCAAAATTAGGATTTTTAAACTAAAATACAATTTTACAATTTAGTGAAGCTAGTTAGGTTCAATCCTGAAGCCAACCTTAAGCGTTCCTCCTTTTGGAAACACATTTTTTTTTTTTAAACCAACAAAAAAAAAAGGCCTATGTTTGAGGCCATTGTCATGCTGTAACAACTGCATCCAGATATCAATCAGCTTGTTGTCTTGAAGATGCATCCAGCAGAAGATCATCTAGATGATGATGCTGCCACCACCATGCTGGACAGTTGGGACAGAGTTATGGTCTTGGTTCAAAAGCCACGTTATGACATCTGTTCTTTTTTTTTTCTATCGTTGTAATGTTAATCTAACTATGACACATACTTCCAACATTTAAAGTTAAAAGGGGAAATGTATTATATCCATTCCAAAAAAAGAAAATTAAAAACAATCCATTGGACTTTTTATCCAAGAAACCTTTCTGATTCTTGGATGGAAGCGAAACGTCTTCAAACTTGAAAGCAAAGTCCAGTGGATTGTTTTTAATTTTTTTTTTTTTTTTTTGGAATGACTATGACCTGGATGACTGAGAATCTTCACCAGGGTATTATATCGATGTAAAAAGATGACTTTTGGAGAATAAAACAGGAAAGTAAATCACACAAATTAAATATCCATCCATCTACTCTCTATATAAAGCATTAAGATAAGAAATTATCTGATTATGGGAAGCTGTTCCACAGCCTCACCCCCCAGAGGAGCTGGTTTCCTACTCTCACTGATTACCGCCTCCAACACAAAGGAAAAGGACGCAACAAGATCTCCATTTCAAAACAAACGACTTCCGCGCATGCTGCTGTTTTCCCATGCGCAGACCTTGTTGCATCGGCTATTGTCGGCCACCCAGGAGAAGACAGAGACCACTTTCACATCACAGCAGCATCTGCCAGTAAACTTGAAGCCATGGCATCAATCAAAGTGTCTGTGATGGCGGGGACACTTTTCACTCTCTGCGTAATCCTGGGAACAAGCGCGCATGCAGGTAAACTTTGCGCTCCATCTTTTCTCCCTTTTTCTGTCATACTTATTAATATGTCACAGAGACCTGCAGTGTAGTTTTTTTTTTTTTATGATCTTCAATTTTGCTTCCAGCTTATGTTTGCTGCAGAAGATACATGAGGGGAATACTCCCATTTTCAGATATCACTGGTTTCTCTGAGCAGAAGAACTATGAACTGTGTTCGATAAATGCCATCATGTGAGTCTCTGTTGTGATTCCTTCATTTTAATTATTACCGTTTCACTGTCCAGACTATCAAATTATTATTTCACCATTTGTAATATAGCCCGTGCAATGACTTTGATTCCTTCTAAAAATCCAGTTTCCACACAAAACAAGGAAAAATATGCGCCAACCCAGACCTGGAATGGGTGAAGGACTACATCAAACGAATTAAGTGAGTAATCCTTATCAATAAATTAATAGGTAAATAAAAAATAAATAAAAAAAACTGATGATGCTAAAATTTTGTAGACAAAAAATGGAGATATGTAACATCTGTTCAAACTGCTGTCATTCCAGATCTATGGTGCAAAGGTAAAGGACAACTACTGCATTTATTTTATAAGTCTCCATAAAAAGAAAAGATATTGATGTTTTTTTTTCTTAAGTAAACATAATAATAAAAGCAACATCTAATAAAGCAACACTGTATATATAGCCTGTATGATGTCCTTTATATTCATTAAGTTTCTGTTTTGTACACATATCACTAAATAAAGTCACTCTTCAGAAATAACCGTCTCTTTGGAAAATCTGTAAAACAAAAAATTAAATCTCTTAAATTCAGGGATAGTTATTCTGAAAATTTCAGAAAACCAATGTAGTTGCATCCTTGCCTGCTCTAAAGGAGCAAAGGAATAAAATATAGTATTATAAATGGAAACAGCCTGATATAAACTGATCATATCAATATGAAAATCCAGGTAGCATGGGGCTTAACGTTGGGTGTTATATTTCAACTTTATGGTTAATTTCATGGAATTATTTTGTCCCTAAAAGTGACCTCTGGCAGACAGTTAATTGTTTATGTTAAAGACCTGCAGGGGAATTCTCACTGGTAATACCTGTTCCTCAGGAACCAGATATTTTAACAGCTGTATAAATCGAAAGCAAATCTGGGAAAGCTCTTTATAAGGTTCATACTCTCAATAGTGATAAAACTCATTAAGATACTGTATTCTAAATTCTATATGTACCAAAGAATTCTAGAATTGTGCTGCTTAAGGTGGCTGCACGTTTGAGTAGCTCTGCTTGCCTGACTTTTTTTTTTAATTTAACTTTAGTTTATCCATTTCTGAAGGGAGTTTTATCTTTTTTACCTTTTTGGATAATTGTTATGATCTGTAACCGCAGCAACCATAGCAAATTGATTTTTTACACCTGGGAGTAGCTGATTATAATCCCCAAAGCTTCGATAATACATCAACTACTTCGACAAGTACCAGCTGAGTTGAAAAGGAGGAGCCTGGGCTGCAGAGCAGGAGCAAGGAGAAGAGAGAGGAAGAAGAAATTTAAGCCATCTCTTCCATCAATCATCATATGTAATGTGAGATCTTTAGGAAACAAGTCAGAAAAACTCCAAGCGTCAGGAAGGACTGAGCCAGAATATCGACAATGCAGCATTATGTGTTTTACTGAAACGTGGCTGCAGGATCATATCTAGGACTCCAGCGTCTGTCTGTGAGGTTTTATGATCTTATGAGCAGACAAAGTCAAAGAAGATTGGAAAATTCAAAGTAAGTGGGTTGGAAGGGCATGTGAACAACAGATGGCTTCATCCAGGACATGTTACTGTGAAGATTCGTCAATGGAGCCCAGATATTGAACCGCTAGAAGTTGGTTTTCAGCCATGTTATTAGCCCAGTTTACCAGTGTCCCGTTAGTAACTGTTTACGTTCCACCTCCTGCTGTTGCTGACACTGTATATGAGGTAATCAGCTGCGTTGTTGCCAGGCACGTGCAGAGGGGGGGGCTAAGGGGGCTTGAGCACCTGCCCCTTTTGCTCCATGATCCCAATGTGCCCTTTTTTTTTATTTATTTTTTTTTTTTTTTTTTTTTTTTTTTTTTTTTT